TTTATTCATTAATATAACTAGTGACAGTGATAATATGTTTTCGATAAAGTTCAAAAATACTTCCTGTTCGGTTTTGCATAATTTCGCTGAAAGTGTTCCAATCAGCTTCTTCTATGGTAAAGTCTATAGTTTCTTTCTCACATCACATGATTGTGAAGGCCGGGCTCTCATTGGTCGGTGCAGCAGCCAGTCACATGACAAATCTATTAGAAAAATAAAACATGCCACTCCTTTTGCATGGCCATATGCTGTAGTAGGTGTTGTGCTGAGGTGATGTGTCAGTGACTGTCATGGCAGAACTGCATTTTGTCGCTGTTGTATCATCCGGACTGTTGTCATGGCGATTCTCTGAGACTGTCTGACAAAAGGGACTACCATTTTCAATATGTAGGTGCTTTAATGTTAGTGTTTATCTGCTATTATGGTCTATGGAATGCTTTTATTATTTATGTATGAAAAATTTTTCTCCCTTTTTTGACTTGAAATTTTCTGAACTTTAACTTGATGGTTTTTGCACTCCTTGATTTGGCCGAGTCTTGTGTTGTATATGTGAAATGTTATCAAACTGCAGCACCTGCTTTTCTTCTTCGCCAGCAGTCAGACTACAGTACCGTGCAAAAATATTCACACCTTTCTTTTGCTATTTTGTGACGTTACAGCCACAAACGTTTGTGAATCTTATTGGGATTAAACCAGCACAAAGCTTTGCATAATTTCAAAGTAGAAGGAACCTGATACTTTGTGGCAATAATAACTGCCATAAATCAGTGGTCCTCTGCCAGTTATTTTAATCTTTTTGTTTTATTTAGAAACCAGCTCAAGTGAAGTCAAATTGGGATGTAGGCACACCTTTTGATTTGATCTAAATCCTTCTGGATTTCTGCTGTTCCTCCAGAGCGTAGAGGCAAGCCACACTTTTGAGATTGTGTTCTAGTTTACTTTAACTTCAAAATGATATTTTGGAGAAATCAACATCCAAAATAGTAATAAAATAATTTTAAAAAAATAAGGAGTTCAGGGCTGAAACGTGACAAATTGTGAAATTTTTTGGCATATTAATATTTTTCAAGGTACTGTGCCTCCTAATGCCTTATGACATGAATCCATTTCTTCACATTCCAGCAGCTCCGAGGTTCAAATACTAAAAGAAAATAGTTTGCAGGTTGAAATACAAGGCGAGACAGTTCTAGTTCCATTTGACAAATCTTGGGATGACAACTGTGGAAAGTGAAGGGTAGCTTTTTACGTTGGGGAAAAAAAAAAACTCACTGGTGCAAATGTTCATTTGGGAGTTTTAACTTGTAGAATAAGGGTCCTGGTAGAGGACAGGAACAGAGATGCCGTGATGTCTTGAGAAATGTCACCACAAGCCAATAGTGTCACTCAGCCGTGCAGTTCCCCAAAAGTACAAAAGTAAGCATTTTCATAACTTCAGGAGGGATTGAAAAGGTTTCCAGTTTGTCAGATTTCAACTGTTTCCTATTCTGAAATAAAAATCACAATATTTTCAGTACACTTGGAATCTAATATGTTGGTTGTTGCTTCTTTTTGTGTGCGTGCTATCATATTATAGACACTTGACTGCAGATTTGCCTCCTCTGTCTTCATGTTGTTTATTCAGAATATTTTTAGTTTACATTGAGGAAGCAGTATGAATGTCAAAAATAAAACAATGTGTTTTCGCCCAGCAAGGACAACAGTAGTCATCCGATACTTTAACATAAAAGTGTGATAAATGAATATTAAAAACATGGGTACACCTGACTGTGTGAAGGCTGCAGGATCAATAATTTAGAATAATGGACTCAAAGTGATCATTCTCTGTTATGTTTTTTTTCCTGAACAGCAGCATCCAAAGGTTTGCAAACACCCGATAAAAACACTAATATATATGAATATGAAAAGGCCACATAGTACAATACAAAATCAAAGCAATTAGTTTTAGTTAGGGCTGCACAGTGGCGCAGTAGAGCTGTTGCCTTGCAGCAAGAAGGTTCTGGGTTCGATTCCCGGCCCCGGTCTTTCTGCATGGAGTTTGCATGTTCTCCCTGTGCATGTGTGGGTTTTCTCCGGGTACTCCGGTTTCCTCCCACACTCCAAAAACATGTCAGGTTAATTGGCCTCTCCAAATTGGCTCTAGGTGTGAGTGTGTATATGCATGGTTGTTTGTCTCTGTGTTGACTGGTGACCTGTCCAGGGTGACCCTGCCTCTCGCCCGGAACGATAGCTGGAGATAGGCACCAGCAACCCTCCCGACCCCACTGAGGGACAAGGGTGTAAAGAAAATGGATGGATGGCTTCTCACCTGCAATACATTTATCTGTACTTAACCTTGAACATAAGTCCACATCATGAGTAATCTGCCACTGTGGTCAAGAACAACCAGTGTCTTCTTTTATTCAGCTCTACTGGTCTGATCAGACACCCAGAAGGTAAAGACTAACACAGAGGACTGCGGTACCGTGGAGCGGAAAAATACAAAACTTCTACTTAGCCTCTTAAACACATAAATAAAATCCAGGAAGGATCATTTTTAGCTGCGATGCCCACAAATTTGGCCTTTATTGAAAATTGCCAAGAAGAAAGTTTTAGAAAGTGCCACCAGAAGACACGTGGGGGACCTTCGTGAAAGATTGCAGAAAACCAGGAAAACGTAGTAAGGGAATCTAAGACGTTTTGTGGTGAAGAATTCGCCCAGTGATTCAGGGGACAAACAGCGGGGTTTTATTTCAAGTCCCTGTGAATTGAAACCCTGCTGTTTAAAAAAAATGACTGGCTGGCTTCACACAGGACGGAGAGGAATGTAAGACCAGCTTGCTGACCTGAGACCAGTTGACATCAGGCTGCAGTTTTTGTTAACGTTTCACGAGTTTTACATTGAAACAAACTGTTTTATAAATAAATTATTTTGCTTGATTTTTTTTTTTTTTTTGTTTGTTACTCATATGAATTATTGTCATTTTGGTTCTTAAAAAAATATGTCCACTTAACGTTTTATTTTGGTCCATCTGATGATGGAATTTTTAGATATTAAGATTTGATCAATCAATCAATCAATCAATCAATCAATCAATCAATCAATCAATCAATCAATCAAATTTTATTTGTATAGCAGCAAGGCATTTCAAGGTGCTTTACATAATTAAAAAAACAAAATAAAAAGCATGTGACATTGAATAAACAGTAAAAAAGAGAAAGAGATTTTGAAAAAAAGAAGGTTTTAAAAAAAGATAAAAACATACTGTTTTTATCTGATCCGTTACTCTTTAAAAATGAAGATGGATATTTATTTATTTATTTATTTTACTTAATTGTATTATCTGAATATGCAAATATGTAAAATATCTTTATATGAATAAAGGTGCGCTGCATGTCCACACTGGTGATTTCGCAGGACCATGACTCCAGGACTGCAGTGATATATTCAGACAGTCCCGTCAGCACATTTCTCCCACATGATAAACCGAGTCGCCCCTGATGCCTGATTGGCACGATCCGGAACGCATCCGTGGTGTGATGTGTGTGGAGATGTTTCATCAGCTTTCTATGGGCCTCTAAAGAGGCGACAAAGTTCACTAAAGTTCAACCTCACCCCCCACCCCACTAAAAAAACCCCATCACGTGTTCATAATCGCATCACCCAGCTCGCGGCGTGCGACTGAAAGCGGCCAATCAGGAGTCGGGTTTTCACTTCTGATTCCCCTGGACCAATCCAAGCAGAGCTTGAGAAACAGCTGGAACGACTTTAAATTTATTAGGAGCTTTAGTGGCCCACGGGGCGAGTGATTAATTACTTTAACACTTAACATGAGGCGGAGGAAAGGTCCTGAATTAGTCTGGTGCATTCATGTGCCCTGACTCAGGGTAGGAACTGAAATGAGCGGTTGCTGTGTGACAGACCTCCATTGAAAGCATACAGAGAGAATGCCTGTCCAAGTTTGTTGAAAACTTGATGTGATGTGCTTACACGAAATCATGTCTGCTAATCGCAATGTGCTGAAACGTTTCCAAAAAGGTCTAGTTCAACATAGAGAGCTGATATTTTTACATTTAAAGATTCTTTAAAAGGTACTAAACAGGTACAGAAAGACTGGCGCTTGTTTTGTTAACAGCTGGTCTTAATAAAGGGATGGTCCGTCATTTTTCCAAGAGTGATTCTAGCTGTTACAAGGTTATACATAGTGAATATCTAACCTGCAGTATGTGACTCTCTTGGCTACTTAGTGAAAATCCAGGTTATTAACTCCTATGCTAAAGGTGGTGTCCAAACAAGGCCAAAATAAAGTGGACTTCCATTGAATTAAAACAAATCCAGTCCAAAAAATGATGACTTATGCAAATGTGATTTCATGAGCCTTTAAACCAGCATCACATTTGCTTTTGATGCTTATTTATACAGGTTACCATGCAAACTATATGCTAAGAAATGATGTGTATTTGGTTGGAGTAACTGTCTGATAGAAAAGTCACTGGGGGGGAAAAAAATAAATAACACAACTGTTATAGAATTTTTGCTATTCACTCCACTAACATGAGAGATTATTGGCACCTGAATCTGGGTTTAAATTAAATAAAGATGCCAAGAGTATTTTCTTGAGCAATGCTGGTAAGACATCTTCCCTGAAAATTTCAAAAATCCTGAATTATTGCTTAGACTTTTGCTTGATATCAGTCAAACGTATTAACATTCTAAATTAAACTAGACAATGCTTTGCCAGACTATCCCTATTTATGCATACAAATGCATCCCTTACCATTATCTGATTTTTATTATCCTCAAAAAGGTAAATGCAGCTGCAGGGAAGTTATGTTCCCTAAATTGCATTTGGGGAGCTTGATGGGTCTTAATCGGTTGAAAAAAAAAAAAAAAACATTTGTGATTTGTGGGTCTAATCTCACAAATCAAAAGAAAAAAAAAAGATTAAATCCAACCTGTGACTAAAAGGACCTCTTGCAACCAGTGAATCAAAGAGACATTTTATGTTTGAAGACTTCAAATATCGTAAGTGGAACTTTATTTCAAAAAGATACCGAAATGAGTAAAGTAAGCAACATGGATTGTATAAATATCTGTGTAACCAAAACAGACACAGTGAGGCACTTTCCTGCCCTCTGCCGTCACAAAACAAACCCAGAGTTTAATTCTTTTTTTTTTTAAGTAGCTACAAAACTATGAACATCATCTGTAATTTGTCAGTTTGTAAAGATTTGATCATTACATCTATGAGAATTTTTTTTTTTTAAAACAGATGTTACAAAATACAACATTGCTGTCTGCATGGAAGATGGAGTAACAGGATTTTAAACAGAGAGAGTGGCTAATTTCTTTATGATTCCACAGAAATTATTTGAAGTTTTGTTCTAAAACCTACTGTTTGAATTCATCTTAGGATAAATAAGAGGAAAGCATGCACATTAATGCAAATATGGAGGGGAAAAAAGTGGGGAAAAATATCATTCACACAAGCTATCAAAGTTCAATCTGAAAAAAAAAAAAAAAAAAAAAAACATTTGACGGGACATTCTTCTTCAGTGCTTTGGCCCAAAGACTCCCCACACCGTCATTACAAGAAATAAATCCTCGGAACAATCGGAAGTTCAAAAATGCTTTTGATGCCGTTTGTTTTTATAAAATGGTTCACACAGCTGTATCAGTCTGTTCCTCCCTCACACAGAGTACACAGACGGAGTGGATTGTAAGGACGACCCAGATTTTATTCTCATGATTTATGAAAGTGTGAGCCCTGGATGTGTTGTTTTTGCAGCTGGAGCGCTGCATGCATTTTATTACACTTTTCCGCCCAAACTCCCCCAACATCCACGAGCGCCATAAAGGAAAAATACACACTGCAGTACAATGTAACGCGTTTTATGGAAATACACCTGCTTTGCATCAACTGTTTTCATGTATTACATCACTATTTTCAACTCATATACTCAGCCACTTTCTGAATACATTCATGTTTTGTTTTTTTTTGTTGTAAAAATCAGCACAGCAACATCAACAGACATCTACACAAAAACCTCCACCTCACTGGCTCAAACAGCCGCGGCGTCCTCTGGGAGGGAGCGGGTTCCGTAACGCTAATCAGCCATTATTCTCGTCGTTGACACGTCATCGGCTCTTTAAGGAAATAAATATGCATTCAACAACATGGTAACACTGAAGAGTGGTCGGTGTTGTCTTCGGGGTGTTAGACGCCCAGCTTGTTGGCGATGGTCATGAGCACTTTGAGGATGGGCATGAAGGCAGAGATCTCGCTGAAGTTGCTGCTGCTGACCACCTGAGTGTGGATCTCCAGGCCCCGCTGGTAGTTTTGGCTCGCCACGCAGCGGCTGATCTCGTGGAGTCCGCTCAGGATGTTGTGAGAGAGCTTAAAAAAGAAGAAGTAGCATTTGGTAACTTGTTATGCCGTAGTTATGTTTTCCAGATTATTCAACTCTTGTATGCTTTTCTCAAATAAGCAGGGAACTTCAATCTTAAGTTTAACCTCTAAAATCCCCAGTCTACTGGAATGGGCAGAATATTTCTGGGTTTAAGCCAATGAATAATTTACAATCAATTTGTTTTACCATTCATGTTTTTTTTTTTTCGTTTTGTAAGAGTATAAACTCTGAGACTTCCTTGAACTGCTTATGAAAATTTATATTTTCCCCCAATTTATTTTCAGGCTGAAGAGGAGTAAAAAAAAAAAAAGTAAATTTATAGATACATTTTATAGTACTGTCAGGCTTTTAATAAAAAAAGATAGATTACTTTTTTGTTACCAGAAAAAAAAAAGTATTGGGCTCTGATCTATAAGTTAAGAGTATCAGTTAAAAAAAAAACATGCTGTAGACAAGAAAGCTGACATTTTTGTTTAGCACTGTCATGGAGACACTGATCAGCTTCAGTTAGCTGACATCACGTCTCCGAGAACATATTGATCACCACGCACATTAACCTGTTGACCACGAGCCGTCCGCTGCAGAACAAGCCCTCCCTGCTCCCGTTTGACTCAGGATATGAACGATTCTGCTTGAACACAAAGCGATCCTTACCGACTGCTCTCTCAGCTTGTCGTACAAGTGTCCCAAACGCTTTCCAGCGTCATCGAGCTTCCTTTTTGTTTGCTGAAAAAGATTTATATGTTTTATGTTAGCACATACTTTCCTCTGCAGGGAAAACAGGCTGCGAAATGACAACAAAAACCAACTGACTTACAGGATCTCCTGCAGCGAGCTGGCAGCGCTGCACCAAGCTGTCAAAGGTGGTTTTGAGGACCATGTGCTCCGCGGGGATTTCCTTCTGCTCCACTCTCTCTGCTGGCAGCTGCTGGAGGAGCTGAGCAACAAACACGCACAAATGAAAAAACATAAAAGCTGATGCCATTCCTGACGAGCGCAATACTGCTGAGGATTCAAGTAACCGGCCCTCCGTCGGAAACGAACCTGTACGTTTGGCTCCTGAGGGGCTCCCGGTGGGACTTGGGTGTGGTTGTGTGGCTGTGGGGCCTCCACTGGGAAACCCATCACAGGAGCAGTGATGGGGGCTGGTGGAGTGTAGTTATCAGGGAGCTGTACACACAGAAAGGTTCAAATTTGATACATAGAAATATGCCTTTTAATTTGTTTTCCTCAGCTGCAAAAAGTGAAACATAAACTGGTACTGAGGCTGGTTTTCCTCAGAGTATTTATTTTGAACAGACTATCAAAAGTAAAAAAAAAAAACTGAAAGAAATAAGAATTAGTCATGCCAATTGAACACAATTTGTTCAAAAAGAAGCAGGTAGAAGATAAAAGATCTTTTGATCTTCTGAGTTGCTGCACTACTGTTTTCATACCAACATGCAGCCTTAACTTCAGATGGGACTGAAGGTTTCTGTTCAGTAGGATGAATGTGAACTCTTACAATCAGTTTTGACACAAATTGATGATGAATAGAGATTTCAAGTGTCAAAATCAAGATCTCAGCAGTCTCCTGAAGCAGGACATGAACAAGAGGTGGCCAGACATCTGATGGACTAGAATTTTTGCAGGACAGGATGGACGAAAAAATATCTCAAAACACGATAAGATGAAAGAAAGAAAGGAAAACAAAACAAACAAAAAAAAATACCCTGAAAAGTATCACATTTGCATGCCAGAAAAGTTGTGAAACTGCTCATCATGTTTTCATTTTGTAGTGTTGAAACATGACATTTTAACAGGAGTATTTACTCGTTTTAGATTCACAGTACATGCTGCCACAGAAAAACCAAACTGACATTTTATGTCATTTATTTAACAACATTTGGCCTTAGGAGCAGTAGTAGTGTTTTTGAAAAATACTCGTATGTTAAGAAGAGACTAACATTGGCCAATGTTGATGCTGATATGCATCCCTACTATAAACATTAACCTTAAATGGTTGACTTCTTTTTTTTCTATCATCAGGCAATGAATGAATAAATACCTTCTTTTTCCTGGGTCCAGTGCGAACTGCTGGTGGATCATTCCAGCCATCATGTGGTCCTACATAAAAAATATTGTGTTAGTTTTTACATGGGAAAAAAAAAAATCCCAACAGATAGAAGTAGATGGCCAAAAATGCACGAAGAAAGCTGCTTTCATACTTGCAACTGATAACATGTACAAACAGTGTTGTGAAAACGCCGCAGACGAAACCAGTCAGACAAGACTTGTGTTTACTTGTGTGTGCAAGTAAACGCTGTCTGCTGCTGAGGTGCAAAACTCATGCAGTGTTTTGCAGAACTATCATATCCCTTGAATTTTTCCAAAATTGTGACGTTAACGGACGTTATTAGATTCACGATGTCCAAAGGTTTTTCCAAGTAATTACAAAAAGTGCGGCGTACGTTGGTGTGTGGTTTTCTTCCAGGACTGATCTGTATTGAGATCCACTCAACTCCCCAACGAGCCTCCCTGTTCTGGCCAAAGCAACAAGTCCCCACAGCATGATGCTGCCACCACCATGCTGACTTATAACTTCCAACTCTGGAAGCTTGCAGCAGCAATGTGACTAAATGAGGAAAAAGTCAAGGGGTATGAATACATTTTCAAGGTACTGTAGCTGGCATGTATCAACTCCTGAATTTTAGAATGGCAGATATGTTCTCTAGCTCGCCTCTATCCCCGTTATTTTGGTTTTTTTTTTTTTTTTTTTTTTTAGCTTATGGACTTGCAAATGATTTCCCAATTAAGTCTGAATATGACGCTTTAGATTTCTTGTCACCTTTGAGGCAATGTTAGTCTGCATAGCAACACACTGCAAGTTAAAACATGTTTTTTCAACCGCTCAGATTTTATGGGTTTGAGCAAATTCAAACAGCGAAGTAAGGCAAAACATATGGGAAGCTTTCTATATGAAGTTCTCATAAGTAACAAATTAAACTACAAGCAATGCATTCAGTTTAGGTTAATAAATAGCTAGGAAAAAAATGTGGTGACATATAACGCCTACACTTTTATTTAATAATAAACCATATTAAGCAAGCCTTGAATGGTGATTGGCGGGAATCAAATAAAATCTTTTTTTTTTTTTTTCCTGACACCACATAAATTGCATGACGTCTAAGCACAATCAGTAACAGCAGCACTGTTACAGAGAGAAGAGTCAAAGTGACCTACTTTCAGTATCAGTCAGAGAAATCACAGAAGTGTTGGAAGGTATTTAAATGACACGTCAAGAGAAAGCTTGAGGGAGTACAGCACAGCTGCAGTGTTTTGTCTTTCTCAACTTTCAGTTCTGGCAAAGAAGGTGCTGGAGTTGGAGATAGCTACGGTAAACATCTACGTTCTCCAAGAGCGCTTTGTCAGCAATGCTAACCATGCCTATCACTAAAACAAGGTGCTAATGATGGCTTAAAAAGTCAATTTACTGATCATTAGAACAGCAAATTGTTCTGAATATTGTTGATATATCTTCTTATGCTACATTTTTGAGAATAAATAGGAAGAGGCTAGGTCAGTGGAGTACAAAAGCTAGAAACCGACCACAAAATTAGGATCATTGAATACTTCTAACTTAATGAAAAATAAACTTTAGTTACATTATTTGGGAATATAGAAACTCATTCCAATCGTCTAAAACCTTTGAAATCTTCAGTTATTGGCTGATACAAGCGACAGACAAGCGGAAGCAATTCAACAGAAAAAGGAAACTTGTTTCAGCTATTGCATCATAGTCTACATGTTTCTGCTTTTCTGTTCACGCTGTTCTATTATTATATATATATTTTTTTTATATCAAGCAATCGTTGCGTCACCTTGATGATCACACTCGAAATTCAGCCAGGGAAAATTTCCTGCAAATTAAAAACGGTGTGAGATCTGAATACAAGTGTTTTCTCATCACTATCACCCTACAGATGATGTTCTTATTTGGTAAAAATAATAATAATAATAAAAAAATGTAACCAGGTTAAAGGAATTTCACTTCTGACTGGAACATAATTGATCCCCATGTGTACCTGTAGGAGGAGGAGCAACTACAGGGGCCGGAAAGGGCTTTGCTGCAGGAGCTCCAGGGCCTCCTTGGGGATATCCAGCTCCCATAGGAGGGAAGGAACTAGATGCCATGGGGGGTGCTGGGCCTTGGCTGTGGAAGCTGCCAGGGAAAATGGGACCCGGTGCTCCTGGTTGCGAGCTGGGCGGCATCATGCCTGCGGGTAAAGAGGTAGACGGTACAAATCCTGTAGGAGGCACCCCAGGGCTCGGAGTAGGGGGCAGGCCTCCAGGGGTGGAGGATGAAGGTGGCAGTGGAGGCCCTGCCAGGCTTGCAGCTGGCATGGGCGGGCCAGTGGGAGAGAAGGGGCCGCCACTGGAAACGGGCTGAGGCTGGAATGGCTGATGAGAAGAGAAAGCTGGAAATGGACAGAAAGAGGAAACATTTACTTAAAACACAAAGTCTAGAAAATGATCATTCTAACATATGAATAAACAGTATTTTTTTTTTTAAATATTCTCTTTGACTTTTAAGTCAAAGAGAAAACTGACATGTGTTGCACATTTAATAAAAAAAAAAAAAAAAAAAAAAAAACCAAAAGTGCCCAAAAGGAAAAGGAAAACTTTAACTTCAAAATTTTTTGGGTTTTAACATTAAT